TATGTACAGGAGAAGGGTAAGGAGTTTATGGCAGTGGGTAGTATGTGCAGGAGAGGGATATGGAGTGTATGGTGGTGGGTAGTATGTGCAATAGAGAGGGATGGAGTGTATGGCGGTGGATGGTATGTACAGGAGAGTGTATGGTGGTGGACAGTATGTACAGGAGAGGGGTTCATAGTGTACGGCGGTAGGTAGTATGTGCAGGAGAGGGGTACAGAGTGTATGATGATGGACAGTATGTACTGTACAGGGGAGGAGTGTGGAGTGTATGGTGGTGGGAGGTATGTACAAGAGAGGGGTACACAGTGTATGGCGGTATATAGTAGTAGTATATGCAGGAGAGGAGTGTGGAGTGTATGGTGGTGGGTGGTATGTACAGAAGAGGGGTTTGGTTGGCGGTAGTACCAGTTGTGAGAAATTAGGAAAGCAACATATATTATTACTATTACATGACATGCTGCAATGGAAGGTGATGATGGAAATGTGGTGCAGAGAGGAGAAGCAGCAGGGGGAGAAGAGAGTGAGATGAGCAGGTGAATGGTAGTGTGAGATTGGACACTGGCAGTGGAGGAAAAAAGAGTTGTGGCAGGATGAAGGAGCAATGAGGTAGGACTAGAATGCTGGCAGTTCTCTGAGGCTGGGACAGTTGCAGATCAGAGATGGGCACTGGTGTAAGGATTCCCTAGCATACAGAGGAATAACACTAGTAGGTGACTGTGGACCAGGAAAGGCCAAGGATGAATTGCTGGCTCAACAAAGGGGAGGGGTGGGGAATGGGCTGCTGCGGGTGTAGTGAGAGCTGGACAAGCAGTGGGAGAGAGAGAGACTGTGACAGTGAGCAGTGAGAGACTGGATAGGTGGATCTGGGTGTGGGGGTTTGTTATCAAGGGTGCAGTGATAGGGGCAGAGATTCTGTCATTTACCATCTACAAAACAGATACAGAGGCAGTGCAGTTCACAGAGGCAGGAGAGGATGGTGGCAGTGAAAGAAGACAGGAGCAGGAGTGGGGGTCAGCTGTCATACAGGCTGCATGCAGGGACTTCTTCCACCCCCTAATAACCATACACAGTGCCCAAGGACTAAGCTGGCCCTGTGGGGCCCGATGTAATCATCCTTGGGTGCACTGTTGGTCAGAGCACAGCCCCTCCCCGGGCCCCCTTGCTAGGTGACAGGGCCCGGGCCCGCTACAGGAGGCCCGGTGGTACCCCCTTATTGGCGGCCCTGCCGGGTGGGGAGGACTTACCAGACTGTCAACGATCACCAGACCCTCACCCCCAGATCAGATGATAGTTCCTCTGGTCCAAGCTCTCCACTCTCCGCTCCCTGCTCTCTCTGTTGTAACTGATCGCCCCTCCCTGCATTCATGCATGGTCCTATAGGGGCCCTACTTCTTTCCGAGCATACGTATTGATGCCGTTATCAGATTCTCGGCTGCTGGGGTGACTTGGCACTGGTGTGCCGACAGAGAGAGCTCTTCGTGCCAGCTGTGGCACGCGTGCCATAGGTTCACCACCACTGCACTAGGGGGACACCTGTTTTCTTACAATTCATACACACTGAGCTTTAATATGTTGCCTAGTGGCTTCCGTGATCTGGCATCTTGAACAAAGTTTTGAACTGACCAGGGGGTTTTGGTTTTCAAAACTCTATGCATATTAGACTGCTCTATTTCATGCTTAGGGTTGGTTTGACTTTTAAATTGAACCATATGTGGCTACTTTATTTTTCAGGCAGCTGACCCTCCTCATTCCATCAATCTCCCCTCCATCATCCTTCCCTTTTTACTCTACAAAGGGCCCCCATCCCAGCCCTCCACAACCCCAAAGGATTTTGGAGTGAGCATTGACCCAATATTGAAGAACCTTTCATATTCACACAGGAAAGGGGTGGGGTTGTGTCAGGTCGGCCATATGGTTCTGTTAACGACCGTCTGGTGGTACCTCTAGCAGTCCTCAGGACAGGATTCCCCAGGGCGCGGAGTCTAATTCCCGTCTGCTTATTCACCAGGGCCCCTGATGGTGGGGATGGACTTGGAGCAGACAGGAACCAGGTCGCGGCCCCTGAGTACACCTGCTCGTGGTAGAGGGATCCACCAGAGGTATATACTGATGTGAAGAGGCAGAAGGTGTGAGCAGGGATGGCTGGATCCGTGCAGGATGGATGGATGGATCGTCTGGGTAGCGTAAGGCGTAGTCCGGCAGGCCAGGTCAGCAATGTGCAGGCAGTGAGGTACCAAAGGAGCAGGCAGAGAATTGTCAGGGTCAAAAGCCGAGTTCAGTAACTCACGGGCAGTGCGGTACAGAGGATCAGGCAGAGAATGGTCAGGGTCACAAGCCGGGTTCAGTAACTCACGGGCAGCACGGTACAGAGGGTCAGGCAGAAGGATGGTCAGGCAAGCCAGGGGTTAAACAGGAGACGGTCAGCAACAATGCAGAGGTCGGCAACAGAAGACAGGCAGAGGAATAGGAACACAGGATACCAGGTACAGGGGCTCATGGGAAACAACACCAAGGCACTGACTGCAGGCCTGGCCATTCCTGAAATACACCTCCTGCAATCAGCCTCAGGTGATGGTTTGATTGCAGGAGTGAGCTTCTGGCTGCTGAAAGCACCCGCTGGCCAGCCCTGGTACTGCAGCCCACATGGCAGGTGAGTCGCACCACCAGTGGTGAATCCATTCCTGACGCTCACATTCAGGTTCAATTTCCTTTTCTATAGACCCGCACAATACTGTATTTGGCGGTAGTCGTAACTCCCATGATACGCTTTAGCAAACTAATATCCCACTCCATCAGCTTCGGACATTGCTTTCCTTTTGAATTACCATGTCCCTATACTGATTTGGACAGGCTCCTGCAATCAAAATGTCCCACCAAAATTACTTTATCCTTTCCGCGTCCTTCCAATTTATATACCTACCCATATTCTATGCATACTGCAGAGACAAATACTGAATTTCATTTGGGCATCGGGTCGTCTCCCCATCTACTCTTTCGCTCTAGAATTCGAGGTGGTTTGGGGATCTCATATATTCAGCACTACTATGTGGCTGCTAAAATCACACCTTTTGATACAATACTTCTCAGGACCCAACCTTCCACTATGGACTATGTTGAAAGTCTCAGAGGTTCATCCAACCCAATTGTCCTCTATCATTTGGCCCCTTCCGTCATCAAGACCTAAACCTCTCAATCCTATCCTGACCCATACACTAAAAATATGGGACTCTTGTAAGAACTCGATGGGCCTCATATCTCCCCATCTACCAGTATTACAGATATTTGACTGTCCTAAGTTTCCTCCAAGGCTGTCGGGCAAGAACGCTTTTAGGTGGTGGATTGCCCACGATTTTACCAACATATACTCATATACTCAATGCTGACAGTGAAAGACGTGCGTTCTTTCACACAATTTTAAAAACACTATTTCAAATGCCTAATGGCATCTCATAAACATTCATGGAAATACGCCCTCTAGTGACTTACATGCCAAATGGCGTCTCATAGACATTCATGCAAAAATGCCCTCTAGTGACTTAAATGCCAAATGGCTTCTCAAAGACATTTATGCAAATATGCCCTCTAGTGATTTCAATGCCAAATGGCATCTCATAAACATTCATGGAAATACGCCCTGTAGTGAATTAAATGCAAAATGGCGTCTCATAGACATTCATGCAAAAATGCCCTCAATGACTTAAATGCTAAATGGCTTCTCAAAGACATTCATGCAAATACGCCCTCTAGTGACTTAAATGCCAAAAGGCGTCTCATAGACATTCATGCAAAAACGCCTTTAGTGAATTTTAAAGCAAAATGGCATCTCATAGACATTCATGCAAATACGCCCTCTGGTGACTTAATGTCAGGGATCCGGGTATGACCAGAGGTGTGTGGACTGACACAGGGAAACGCAGGCTTCAGATATGGTATAAACAATATGATTTATTAAGACTAACAATACAAAACGCAGTGCAAAACTATACATAAACACAGCGCAAACAAACCAAACCACCCACCGATAACAATACATACAATGCAAGAGTCGTCAGGCAGGCCGGGTCAGTAGCAAACAGGCAAACAGAGTACGAGGAACAGGCGGGAGAGTGGTCGGGGTCACAAGCTGGGTTCAGTAACTCACGGGCAGCAGCGCGGGGCAGAGGGTCAGGCAGAGAATGGTCAGGGTCACAAGCCAGGGATCAAACAGGAGAAGTCAGCAGAGGTTAGGATCAGGCAGGGTCGGCAACAAGTCAGGCAGAAACAGGAACACAGGATACAGGGGCCCATGGAAAAACACACACCAAGGCCCTGACTGTGAGTCTGGCCATTCCTTAAATACAACCCTTGAAATCAGCTTCAGGTGTCTGGCTGACTGCAGAGGTGAGTCTCTGATTGCTGAGAGCACCCGCTGGCCAGCCCTGGTACTGCAGCCCACAAGGCTAGTGAGTCCCACCATTATTGGCAAGTCCATTCCTGACAGTACCCCCCCCCCCCCCCTCAAGGAGCGGCCTCAGGACGCTCCAAATAGTCCTAGCTGGGCAAAATGTTCCACCGCCCGGGTCCGGTAACTGGCGAGATATCAAAGACTGGCACATCGGGCTGGGCACCGAATAGAGGCACATCGGGCTGGGCACCGGACAGAGGCACATCGGGCTGGGCACCAGACAGAGGCACATCGGGCTGGACACCGGATCACCAGGCGGAGCAGCAGGCACCGGGCCACCAGGCGGAGCAGCAGGCACCGGGCCACCAGGCAGGGCAGCAGGCACCGGGCCACCAGGCAGGGCGGCAGGGACCGGGCCACCAGGCAGAGCGGCAGGCACCGGGCCACCAGGCAGGGCGGCAGGCACCGGGCCACCAGGCGGAGCGGCAGGCACCGGGCCACCAGGCAGGGCGGCAGGCACCGGGCCACCAGGCAGGGCGGCAGGCACCGGGCCACCAGGCAGGGCGGCAGGCACCGGGCCACCAGGCAGGGCATCGGGCCCCCAGGCGGAGCGGCAGGCACCGGGCTCATCAGGCATCGGGTCATCTGGCTCGACAGTGGGCATCGGGTCACCAGGCATGACAGCGGGCACTGGGTCATCAGGCATTGGATCGTCTGGCTCGACAGCGGGCATCGGGTCACCAGGTATGACAGCGGGCACTGGGTCATCAGGCATTGGATCGTCTGGCTCGACAGCGGGCATCGGGTTATCAGGCACAACAGCGGGCATCGGGTCACCAGGCATGACAGCGGGCACTGGGTCATCAGGCATTGGATCGTCTGGCTCGACAGCGGGTATCGGGTCACCAGGCATCGGGTCATCTGGCTCGACATCGGGCATCGGGTCACCAGGCATCAGGTCATTTGGCTCGACAGCGGGCATCGGGTCACCAGGCATCAGGTCATCTGGCTCGACAGCGGACACCGAGTCATCTGGCAAGGCAGTGGGCACCAAGTCACCAGGCACGACAGTGGTCAACTGGCATGACAGCGGGCATCGGGTCACCAGGTATGACAGCGGGCACTGGGTCATCAGGCATTGGATCGTCTGGCTCGACAGCGGGCATCGGGTCACCAGGCATGACAGCGGGCACTGGGTCATCAGGCATTGGATCGTCTGGCTCGACAGCGGGCATCGGGTCACCAGGCATCAGGTCATCTGGCTCGACAGCAGGCACCGAGTCATCTGGCAAGACAGTGGGCATCGGGTCACCAGGCATGACAGCGGGCACTGGGTCATCAGGCATTGGATCGTTTGGCTTGACAGCGGGCAACGGGTCACCAGGCATGACAGCGGGCACTGGGTCATCAGGCATTAGATCGTCTGGCTCGACAGCGGGCATCGGGTCACCAGGTATGACAGCGGGCACCGAGTCACCTGGCATGATAGGATCATTACGCTGGATCAGTTCATCAGGCTGAATTGCGGGTGCCGAGGCACCAGGCTGAACCACGGAAGGCGGGTTCTCAGACGGCAGGCTGACTGGTTTGGATACTGGCAGGATGGTACTGGTTGGAAAGAATTTTCGCTTTTTTCTGGTTTTAGTTACTGGAGCACAGTAAGTAAGCGCAGGTTTGTAAACGGATGGAGCAGCTGAAGATAGAGAAGAGCTGGAGGATGGAACAGAGGAGGGAGCAGTTGCTATAGAGGACTTCTTTACAGGGTTAAAGGCAGGATAGGTGCAGCGAGTGGGAGCAGAGGACTGATATGTGGTAGTTAGCGGAGTATACTGGGCCGTCACTGGGGGTGCTGTCGGGGATGCAGGAATAGAGCTTTGAAGAAATAGATTAGAAGCAGGACTGGGTTCTTGCAAGCTGACTGAGGCTGGGTGCAACAAATCTGTCCATGTCTGCAGTACTGGTTGAACAAAACTCAGCTTACACATAGCCTGTCTGATCAAAGACTGCACTGCGTTTATGCAATCCATAAGCACATGTGTGGACAAGCTGCATAATGCTCATGGAAGCAATCTGGATCATCCTCCAACAACCATACTAGTGATTCCACTTGATCCACACTAAATGGGGGAAAAAAGTCATTCCTGCTTTCAGGGGTACAGGACCAAGCCAACTCAGCACAAACCTGGATCAATGGCTGCACCTCAGAAAACTCTGTGCCCTGATCTACTAGGCAATAAGCGATCCTTATACACTCTAGTAGTTGATCCCTGGGATACTCCTTCAGAGTCTCATAAGCATAGTCTTTGTCATCAAACACTAGCAGAGATAAATACACCACCTCATCAAGATCCATCCTTCCCAGCAACAATAAGCCAAGATGGCTTCCCTGTGCAGCCACTTCTGGTCAGGATTGGCCTTGGTGTAATGTCAGGGCTCCGGGTATGACCAGAGGTGTGTGGACTGACACAGGGAAACGCAGGCTTCAGATATGGTATAAACAATATGATTTATTAAGACTAACAATACAAAACGCAGTGCAAAAAACTAAACAAACACAGCGCAAACAAACCAAACCAAACCACCCACCGATAACAATACATACAATGCAGGAGTCAGGCAGGCCGGGTCAGTAGCAAACGGAGTACCAGGAACAGGCAGGAGAGTGGTCGGGGTCACAAGCTGGGTTCAGTAACTCATGGGCAGCACGGTGCAGAGGGTCAGGCAGAGAATGGTCAGGGTCACAAGCCAGGGATCAAACAGGAGAAGTCAGCAGAGGTCAGGATCAGGCAGGGTCGGCAACAAGTCAGGCAGAAACAGGAACACAGGATACAAGATACAGGGGCCCATGGAAAAACACACACCAAGGCCCTGACTGTGAGTCTGGCCATTCCTTAACCTCCTTAGCGGTAATCCCGAGTGTAGCGCGGGGTAAACTTTCTATACCAAAAGCGGTAACCCCGAGCTACACTTGGACTTACCATGCGGCGCTGTTCTGGGGGTCCCTGCAGCACTTACCTTGTCCTTCGCTCCCGCGATGTGTCCCCTCCAGCGTCCCCAGCCATCTCCTCCGGCCGATGCCGGCATCCGGCTCCTGTGTTCCGGTCCCTGTGACGTCGGGACGTACGGGTGCCGGAACTTTGAATTTTTAAAAAAATGTCATTTTTGCTGTCATTGCTATTTCAATGCATTTCACATACATTTTGTCCCTACTGCTTTGTCCTGTGCCCTGCCTGCATTTTTACTGTTCTTTCTGCCTGGAAACTTAGAAAAGTCCATGGCATCCAAAAAGCGTCCCTTTACGTTAAAAGCGGTTTTAGAACAGCGATAGTAAATCAGAACCACTTGCAGAATTGAGTGATGATTTGTGGGGAAATTCGTCATCAGACACTGAAAACGATTTTGCGACTTTGCTCAGCGATGTGCGAATTTGCCTCTGTATTTCAAATTTCAGTGTTTTTGGTTTGATTATATTATTGAATTAAATTTATTATTATATTATTTTTTATGATTATTAAATTATAATTTATGATTTCGTGTTTCAAATTTTATCATATCCGGAATGTTTAATAGACTCTTGTTCGGACAGATTTCAGTGAGTTATTCCTAAAAATTACAGCCTACAATAAAAAACTACATATTTCCATGCAAAAAAATGGTACCGCTTTCAGCACAAAAAATCGGAAAGAATCATACCGCCAAGGAGGTTAAATACAACCCCTGAAATCAGCTTCAGGTGTTTGGCTGACTGCAGGGGTGAGTCTCTGATAGCTGAGAGCACCCGCTAGCCAACCCTGGTACTGCAGCCCACAAGGCAGGTGAGTCCCACCATTATTGGCAAGTCCATTCCTGACACTTAAATGCCAAATGGCATCTCATAGACATTCATACAAAAACACCTTCTAGTGAATTCAAAGCAAAATGGCATCTCATAAACATTCATGCAAATACGCCCTCTACTGATATCAATGCCAAATGGCATCTCATAAACATTCATGGAAATACGCCCTCTAGTGACTTAAAAGCCAAATGGCGTCTCATAGACATTCATGCAAAAACGCTCTCTAGTGACTTCAATGCCAAATGGCTTCTCTAAGACATTCATGCAAATACGCCCTCTAGTGATTTCAAAGCCAAATGGCATCTCATAAACATTCATGGAAATACACCCTCTAGTGATTTAAATGCCAAGTGGCTTCTCAAAGACTTTCATGCATATACGCCCTCTAGTGATTTCAATGCCAAATGGCATCTCATAAACATTCATGGAAATACGCCCTCTAGTGAATTAAATGCCAAATTGCGTCTCATAGACATTCATGAAAAAATGCACTCTAGTGACTTTAATGCCAAATGGCTTCTCAAGGACATTCATGCAAATACGCCCTCTAGTGACTTAAAATGCCAAATGGCGTCTTATAGACATTCATGCAAAAATGCCTTCTAGTGAATTCAAAGAAAAATGGCATCTCTAAAACATTCATGCAAATACGTCCTCTAGTGATTTCAATGCCAAATAGCATCTAATAAACATTCATGCAAATACGCCCTCTAGTGACTTAAATACCAAATTGCGTCTCATAGACATTCATGCAAAAACGCCTTCTAGTGAAATCAAAGCAAAATGGCATCTCATAAACATTCATGGAAATACGCCCTCTAGTGATTGCAATGCCAAATTGCATCTCATAAACATTCATAGAATACGCCCTCTAGTGACTTAAATGCAAAATGGCATCTCATAAACATTCATGAAAAAACGCGCACTCTAGTGACTTCAATGCCAAATGGCTTCTCAAAGACATTCATGCAAATACGCCCTCTAGTGATTTCAATGCCAAATGGCATCTCATAAACATTCATGGAAATATGCCCTCTAGTGACTTCAATGCCAAATGACGTCTCAGAGACATTCATGCAAAAAACGCCCTTTAGTGATTTCAATGCCAAACCCCATCTCATGAACATTTATGCAAATACGCCCTCTAGTGACTTGAATGCCAAATGGCGTCTCATAGACATTCATGCAAAAACACTCTCTAGTGACTTCAATGCCAAATGGCTTCTCAAAGACATTCATGCAAAAACGCCTTCTAGTGAATTCAAAGCAAAATGGCATCTAATAAACATTCATGCAAATGCACCCTCTATTGATTGCAGTGCCAAATGGCGTCTCATAGACATTCATGAAAAAACGCTGTCTAGTGACTTCAATGCCCAATGGCTTCTCAAAACCATTCCTGCAAATACGCCCTCTAGTGATTTCAATGCCAAATGGCATCTCATAAACATTCATGGAAATGCGCCCTCTAATGAATTAAATGCCAAATGGCGTCTCATAGACATTCATGCAAAAACGCCCTCTAGTGACTTAAATGCCAAATGGTTTCTCAAAGACATTCATGCAAATACGCCCTCTAGTGATTTCAATGCCAAAAGGCTTGTCAAAGACATTCATGCAAATACGCCCACTAGTGATTTCAATGCCAAATGGCATCTCATAAACATTCATGGAAATACGCCCTCTAGTGACTTAAATGCAACATGGCGTCTCATGGACATTCATGCAAATACGCCCTCTAGTGACTTAAATGCCAAATGGCTTCTCAAACACATTCATGCAATACGCCATCTAGTGATTTCAATACCAAATGGCATCTCATAAACATTCATGGAAAATACACCCTCTGGTGACTTAAATTCCAAATGGCGTCTCAAAGACATTCATGCAAAAATGCTCTCAATGACATTAAATGCCAAATGGCTTCTCAAAGACATTCATGCAAATAGGCCCTCTAGTGATTTCAACGCCAAATGGCATCTTATAAACATTCATGCAAACACACTCTCTAGTGACTTAAATGCCAAATGGCGTCTCATAGACATTCATGCAAAAACGTCTTCTACTGAATTCAAAGCAAAATGGCATCTCATAAATATTCATGCGAATACGCCCTCTAGTGATTTAAATGCCAAAAGGCATCACATAAACACTCATGGTAGTTCGCACTCTAGTGACTTCAATGCCAAATGGCATCTCAAAGACCTTCATGCAAATACGCCCTCTAGTGCTTTCATTGCCAAATGGAATCTCATAAACATTCATGGAAATACACCCTCTATTGACTTAAATGCCAAATGGCGTCTCAGACATTCATGCAAAAAAGGCCTCTAGTGAATTAAAATGTCAATTGGCTTCTCAAAGACATTCATGCAAATACGCCCTCTAGTGATTTCAATGCCAAATGGCATCTCATAAAACATTCATGGAAATACGCACTCTAGTGACTTAAATACCATATGGCGTCTCATAGACATTCATGGAAAAAACGCTCTCGTGATTTCAATGCCAAATGGCATATCATAAACATTCATGCAAATACACCCTCCTAGTGACTTAAATGCCAAATGGCGTCTCATAGCTTTTTGTGCAAAAAAAAGCCCTCTAGTGACTTTAATGCCAAAATGGCTTCTCAAGGACATTCATGCAAATACGCCCTCTAATGACTTAAAATTCCAAATGGCGTCTTATAGACATTCATGCAAAAATGCCTTCTAGTGAATTCAAAGAAAAATGGCATCTCTAAAAACATTCATGCAAATACGTCCTCTAGTGATTTCAATGCCAAATGGCATCTAATAAACATTCATGCAA